CTATTTCCTGAGGGGTTATGGGACTATTTAGATGGTTTATCTGCTCCTGGTTTAACTTCGGTACCTGGTATCTGTCTAGGAAATTGTCCCTTTCATCCAGGTTTTCCAGTTTTGTTGAGTATAGGCCTTTGTAGTAGGATCTGATGATTTTTTGAATTTCTTCCGTTTCTGTTGTTATGTCTCCCTTTTCAGTTCTGATTTTATTAATTTGGATACTGTCTCTGTGCCCTCTGGTTAATCTGGCTAAGGGTTTATCTATCTTGTTGATTTTCTCAAAGAACCAACTCCTGGTTTTATTGATATTTTGTATTGTTCTTTCTGTTTCTATTTGGTTGATTTCAGCCCTGAGTTTGATTATTTCCTGCCTTCTACTCCTCCTGGGTGTATTTGCTTCTTTTTGTTCTAGGGCTTTTAGTTGTGCAGTCAACTTGTTAGTGTGTGCTCTTTGCAGTTTCTTTTTGTAGGCACTTAGAGCTATGAGTTTTCCTCTTAGCACTGCCTTCATGGAGTCCCACAAGTTTTGGTATGATGTGTCCTCATTTTCATTGAAATCTAAAAAGTCTTTTATTTCTTTCTTTATTTCTTCCTTGACCATGTCATCATTGAGTAGAGAGTTGTTCAGTTTCCATGTGCATGTGGGTTTTCCATTGGTTTTCTCATTATTAAAGACCAGTCTTAGTCCGTGGTGATCTGATAAGATGCAAGGGATTATTTCAATCTTTTTGTATCTGTAGAGGCTTGTTTTGTGACCAATTATATGGTCTATTTTGGAGAAGGTACCATGAGGTGCTGAGAAAAAGGTATATTCTTTTGTTTTAGGATGAAATGTTCTATAGATGTCTGTTAAGTCCATTTGGTTCATAACTTCTGTTAATTTCAAAGTGTCTCTGTTTAGTTTCTGTTTCCATGATCTGTCCATTGCTGACAGTGGGGTGTTGAAATCCCCCACTATTATTGTGTGAGGTGTAATGTGTGTTTTGAGCTTTAGTAAAGTTTCTTTTCTGTATGTAGGTGCCCTTGCATTTCGAGCATAGACGTTCAGAATTGAGAGTTCACCTTGGTAGATTTTTCCTTTGATGAGTATGAAGTGTCCTTCCTTATCTTTTTTTTGATTAATTTTGGATGAAAGTCGATTTTATTGGATATTAGAATGGCTACTCCAGCTTGTTTCTTGGGACCATTGGCTTGAAAAATTGTTTTCCACCCTTTTATTCTGAGGTAGTGTCTGTCTTTGTCACTGAGGTGCGTTTCTTGTATGCAGCAAAATTCTGGGTCTTGTTTGTGTATCCAGTCTGATAGTCTGCATCTTTTTATTGGGGAATTGAGACCATTGATGTTAAGAGATATTAAGGAAAAATGATTGTGGCTTCCTGTTATTTTTGTTATTAGAGGTAAAGTTATGTTTGTATCTTCTTTTAGGGTTGTTGGAAGATTACCTACTTGCTTTTTCTAGGTTGTAGTTTCCCTCCTTGTGTTGGCATTTTCCTTCAATTATCCTTTGAAGTGCTGGGTGTGTGGGAAGATATTGTGCAAATTTGGTTTTGTCATGGAATATCTTGGTTTCACCATCTATAGTGATTGAGAGTTTTGCTGGGTATAGTAATCTGGGCTGGCAATTGTGTTCTCTTAGTGTCTGTATGATGTCAGTCCAGGCTCTTCTGGCTTTTATAGTCTCTGGTGAGAAGTCTGGTGTAATTCTTATAGGTCTGCCTTTATATGTTACTTGACCTTTTTCCCTTACTGCTTTTAGTATTTTTTCTTTGTTTTGTGCATCTGATGTTTTGATTATTATGTGACGGGAGGTATTTCTTTTCTGGTCTAATCTATTTGGTGTTCTGTAGGCTTCTTGTATGTTTATGGGCATCTTGTTCTTTAGGTTAGGGAAGTTTTCCTCAATAATTTTGTTAAAGATATTTACTGGCCCTTTAAGTTGGGAATCTTCATTCTCATCTATACCTATTATCCTTAGGTTTGGTCTTCTCATTGCGTCCTGGATTTCCTGGATGTTTTGAGTTAGGAGTTTTTTGCATTTTGCATTTTCTTTGACAACTGTGTCAATATTTTCCACCGTATCTTCTGCATTTGAGATTCTCTCTTCTATCTCTTGTATTCGGTTGGTGATGCTTGCGTCTGTGACTCCTGATCTCTTTCTTAGGTTTTCTATCTCCATGGTTGTCTCCCTTTGAACTTTCTTTATTGTTTCTATTTCTAGTTTCAGATCCTGAATGTTTTTGTTTAATTCCTTCTTTGTGTTTTCTTCCATTTCTTTAAGGGATTTCTGTGATTCCTCTTTAAGGGCTTCTATCTGTTTACTTGTACTCTCCTGTATTTCTTTAAGGGAGTTACTTAATTCCTTCTTATAATCCTCTATCATCATCATGAGAAGTGATTTTAATTCTGAATCCTGCTTTTCAGGTGTGATGGGGTGTTCAGGGCTTGCTATATTGGGAGAACTGGGCACTGATGATGCCAAGAAACTTTGGTTTCTGTTGCTTATGTTCTTGCGCTTGCCTTTCGCCATCTGGTTAACTCTAGTGGTACCTGCCCTCACTGTGTAAAACTGGAGTCTGTATTTCCCATTATCTTGCTTATTGCAGAGCTCCTCAGAGTCCAGAGGTCTCTGTGGTCTTATGCTCCTAATCTCCTGGGTGGAAGAACTCCTGGGACTCAGGCCACCTCTTGGATCTGGAAATCCTTCTGCTCTGAGTGCAGTGGGTCCTCGATGACTCAGGATTCAGTTTCTCCACAGGACAGAAGCAGACCAACTCTGTGTCTGCTCCAGCCCAAAGGACCAGGCAAGGGCAGAAGGGAAGTGGAATTCCAGAGGGGCGGGGTTTGGGTAGCTGCTGTGCCCTGGATGTCCCTGTCTCCCAGATGTATCTCTGGGCCTTAGGGAGTGAGATGGAGTTCTTACCAGCTGCTCTGAGTGCAGTGGCTCCTGGATGACTCAGTATTCAGTTTCTCAACAGGACAGGAGCAGACCGACTCTGTTGTCTGCTCCAGCCCAGAGGACCAGGCAGGGGCGGAGGGCGAGCAGGTTGATTTTTAACAGCTCATAAGCAGTTACTGTTTACTGTGTCAGAGTAATCAGGATCATATAGTTTGAGGGACGTTCTATACTGTCTTACATGGCCTGTGAGTACTTTAGGTTTAACTGCCTTACAGAGAGATGTTCACAGAGAACAGAAAGTTGCCTACTTCAGGGGCCTAGGTACTATTGCCATTGAGTACAGAGTAGCAGAGGATTTTTTTTTTAAGTGAGAGATTTGTGTGTGTGTGTGTGTGTGTGTGTGTGTTTTACACATAGGGAGACCAGAGGGGCATTTGTATCTCTCCTTTCACAATGGATTCGGGGCTTGAACTCAAGTTGTTAGGGTCGATGACAAGCACGTTTACGTCTGATCGATCTCACAGGGCCAGAAGGACTTTTGTTTTTTTTTTTAAGTTTATTTATTTATTATATATGAGTACACTGTAGCTGTTTTCAGACACACCAGAAGAGGGCATCAGATCTTATTACAGATGGTTGTGAGCCACCATGTGGTTGCTGGGATTTGAACTCAGGACCTCTAGAAGTGTAGTCAGTGCTCCTAACCACTGAGCCATCTCTCCAACTCAGGACTTTTTTTTTTTTTTTTTAATCCAGAAAGCCTTGTATCTTCCTATTTTAGAGTGTTTCCTCTTCTTTTTCCTCCTCTTCTTCCTCCTCCTCTTAGATTTATTTATTTTATATTTTATATGTTGAGTGTTTTTCCTGAATGTCGTCATGCATCGTATGCATCTTCATGCCCTTGAAGATCTGATGGGGCTATCAGATCTTCTAGAATTGAATTTATAGATGGTTGTGAAGTACTAAGCAGGTGCTGGGAATAGAACCTTGGTCCTCTGCAAGAATGGTAAATGCTCTTAACTGCTGAGTCATCTCTTCAGTCCTTATTAGACTATTTCTTTACTTTTTTGTTGTTTGTTTGGTTTTTTTGAGACAGCATTGAGACAGGATTTCTCTCTGTAACAGTCCTGGCTTGTCCTAGAACTCTGTAGACCAGGCTGACTTAAATCTTGAGATTCTCCTGCCTCTGTCTCCTGAGGACTGGGATTAAAGCCAGTTTAATGAGGATTTTTAGAGGATTTTTTTCTCACTTACCTGGATAAATTACAAACGGAAAGTTACTTACCTGGAAAGACAAATGGAATAAGAAAAATGAAGTTTGAAAATATATGCTCTTTTTTGTTTTTCGTTTTTCGAGACGGGTTTCTCTGTGTAGCCCTGGCTGTCCTGGAACTCACTCTGTAGACCAGGCTGGCCTTGAACTCAGAAATCCGCCTGCCTCTGCCTCCCAAGTGCTGGGATTAAAAGCGTGCGCCACCACCACCCGGTGAATATATGCTCTTTTGCCAATGGTATATTTGAACACATCTTGAGGTAATATCGCTGGAGCTACTATATATCTTTATCTAGAATGCTCTTACATAGGTTGGATTTTTTTTTTTTTTTTTTCTCAACCCCATAGGAAGAACAACAGTGTCAATTAACCTGAACTTCTTGGGGCTCCTAGAGATTGAGCTACCAACCAAAGAGCATACATAGGCTGGTCTGAGGGCCCCAGACACATAAGTAGCAAAGATCTGCCTTGTCTGGCCTCAGTAGGAGGGGATGCACCTAATCCTACAGAGATTTGATGCACCAGGGTTAAGGAATACTGGATGGAAGGGGACTCTCTCAGAGGCAAAAGGGAGGGGAAATGAAGGGAGGAACCTTGAAAGGGAGGAGTGGGATGGTGAACAGCATTTGAGATGTAAATACATAAATAAACTTAAAAAAAGTGTGAGGCAAGGGTAATGAATATAATCTTCTTTTTAAACTCAAAACTGATGTTTCTCATTAGACTTGAAGTAATCCACTTTCAGATTTAAATGTTTTAAATATTAAAATAGTTTGTTCCTGGAAAAAAAAAAAAAGGTTGGATTATTTTTAATGGTCATTCAAAAAGTAATAATTTTCATTTAATTTTACTGCAGGTGCAAACTCGTAGTGCTGATGAACCAATGACAACATTTGTTGTATGTAATGAATGTGGAAATCGGTGGAAGGTATGGCACCCTCTTGCATGTATATCATAACTTACTGTTTCTTTGTAAGCTACGATATAAAATCTGTACCCTCCTAGGACTTGATCTTAGCAACACATATTTTAACACCAGGGAAAAATATTAAATTATTTTCACACATTCCCATGTACATTTTGATGTTGGAAAAATTTATAGAGTTCTATGTTATCAGTGTTTATTTTCAGAATTATAGTGGGCTTAGTTGTGGATTGGTAGCTTTTCAATAAGCCTTTATTTTGCTTCTGTATTTGCGATTGTCTCATACAAGCAAGTTTATGGTTTTGTTTGTTTGTTTGTTTGTTTTTTCGTTTTTTTGGTTTTTCGAGACAGGGTTTCTCTGTGTAGCCCTGGCTATCCTGGAACTCACTCTGTAGACCAGGCTGGCCTTGAACTCAGAAATCCACCTGCCTCTGCCTCTTAAGTGCTGGGATTAAAAGCGTGCGCCACGACTGCCCGGCATGTTTATGTGTTTTTAAAGAACATTTTTTAAGTATTTCTCTAGTCTGATGTTTATTGTATGTGTTCTTTGCTGACTTTACACATGTATATAATGTACTCTAGCTACTCACCCTTAGCCTCTAATGTCTCTCCTACCCAAATCTTCCTTCCCTTCAAGTCCCTTTCTCATATTAATGCTGTTTTGTTTTGTTTTTTGTTTTGTCACCTGAGTTTAACCTGGGCAGTCTGTGTGACTACAGGTTTTGAATTGTTCATTAGTTTCCATTGCTTCTGCCCCAGAATTTACCAATAGTTAGGAGCAAGGAGTAGGGTTCTGTGATTCCCTTCTGACTTCAGATTGACTGTTGATGACACTTTCATTTTTGTACAGGCTAGTGGAAAGCTAATTTTTGAGTGACTTTGTTTTTTAAACTCCCAAACCAAAATATAAAATTAGGAGGATTGCACATCGATTGCAATGTTACTTTTATTATTAATAATGATGGGGATATTAGTAGTGTGGGAACAGGAGATACCCATAGTAGGGATAAGTCTTTGGTGTCACACAATAATTAGAACTCCCTTGCCTCTCACCCCCACTCAACTATTATTGGCATAGATAATACTTAAGCTCCCTGTCTGTCATCCCTCTTTTCCATTCCTGGTGGACAAGCTTGACCTGTCCAGATAGCTCTCTTAGATCTGTTATACGTGCTCAATAGTTTTTAATCACTGCTGTGAGCAAGTATTATATAGTTTGTTTTAATACAAGCAGTTTACTAAAACATGTTGTACCATATGATACTTAATGAATTTAAGAAAGTTTAGTTTAATGTAAAAGCTAATAAGAATTGTTACTTATTTAACCAAGAAACATTAGAGAAATACTTTTAGACCAAGAAACATTAGAGAAATACTTTTAAAACATTTGAAAAACTTTATATATTTGTTCTTTAGTTACATAGTCCTCTCAATTTTATGGTGGAAGGTAAAAGTGAGTGACTACTATACATAAAAATTGTTTTTCAAAAATATCTTTTTAATAAAGTACATAAAATTAAGATATATACACCATTGCTTTTTTAAAAAAAATCTTACAAAATATTTCTTTTGTCTTTGCAGTTCTGTTGAGTTTGGAAGAATTGGCAAGGTATCTGGACCATTAAGAAAAATTAATTTTGTAATTAGCTTTAAAATTAATTAAGCCAGGCAACTCGTTTTCCTGCAAGTGAAATTTGTAAACAGTATACATCCCATGGGTTGATCTTTGCTGTTCACCTGACAGTCTTTCTTAAATGCCTTCTGTGGTCTCAGATCAGCTGGGAAACCATACAATAATTATATAATATGTTGGTTTGTTTTTCTTTTTTATAGGTTGATGTTGCATTTTATTAAATATTAACTTTTTATACTCTAGAACACAAAAATTCTGTTGACCTGTTAATGCATAAAGATAAATTGTACCTAAAAATGTTAAAGGAAGAGAAGGCATAGTATACATTTTAGAGTTACCAAATAGTAGTACTTGGCCAGCTTGTCAAAGTTGTGCGCACAATTTGAACTAGCATATTATTTACTCTTAATTACTGTGCTCACAAACCCTCATATGCTTAGATCTCTTGCATCTGTGACTAACCACAGTGAGTGATCATTTCTTGTATTTCTCATACATGTATGTTACCATTTTTTTTTAATAGATATTACTTTGAAAACTGACTGGGTTGCCATCAGTTTAGTTGACTTTGTGCTATATTTTAGTTTTACAGAATTCTGTTATAATTTCCTAAGCTTTTCACAAAGCCCCTCACAGGTATACTTCTGATGCATTTTCCCCCATAGGAAGACATGCTGTGAAGAAAATGTTAGTATCTTAGTAGAGTTCCTGGAGGCAGCATGACTGTACTCGCACTTGGAAACCTACTGACCAAGGATTAAGCCTGAGAACTGTGTAAATCATTAAGCTATGCTTTTTGCGTATGGAGGTTGTAAAAAAAAAAAAATCCTTTAGACTGAATCTTTTGTGCTGAATTTTTACATGATGTCAAGCCAACTGAAATGTAAGCTGTAACAAGTAGTTCTACAAAACATTTTTCACAATTAAGTTTTACTTTTATTTAAATGTGTCCCACTTATTTTGCAAGTAATAAGCAATGGTTTTCACATTGTCTTCTTGACATAGATGTTCTAATGCATATAGTAAAGGCCACTGTTACAAAGCTTACAACTTAAGTGCTTCTGCCTGTGTTCAGACTTTTATGTAAAGACCACTGCACAAGCTTTGCACTCTTCTATGCTCTGCTTTGCAGATTGTTTGACATAACATAAAAAAACACTTAATATATCCATGTTAAAAGGATTGGTCTATGGGTAATTTCTGTCACTTTAAAAATAAAGTACATTTTCAAAGAATTAATTTAAAAGTAATAAGGTTAAAATAGTCCCAGTTTTAAGTGATCCATTTTAAAATTTGTAAATCAATAAATTTTTTTTTGTTGTTAAACATACCTGTTTTTTGTCATTTATTTTGACGTTGAAACACCTCTGAAAGTGTAAGCCAGCTCCAATTTAAATGGTTTCCTGATGCCCTCTTCTGGCCTGAGTATACTGCACACATGTGGTATATAATCATGTGTAAAACAGCCATATACATAAATAATTATTAAAAGTTAAGATATTTTTGAGGTTGTTGATTCAAAAGGTAAAAGTTTATTGTTTGAGAACATAATAGGTCTAGGTAGAGTAGGCCCTTATCTATCCTGAGACCATGTCAGCAAACATCAGAACCTCAGTATGTTTTTGACTAGGCACATCTATCCTTGCTTTTGCTGCTGTAAATGTTCTAGTTAGCCACATGTTACAACTTTTGGCTGGAGAACTGTGATGGTTTGAAGGAGAATGGTCCCTATGAGCTCATGTATTTTGAATGCTTGGTCCACAGTTATGGAACTGTTTGGGAAAAATTAAGAGATGTGGCCTTTTTGGAGGGTGTTTGCCATTGGAGCTCGGGTTTGAAGTTTCAAAAAGAGAGTTAACTGTCTCCATGAAGCTTATGGATCAAGATGCAAACCCAAAGATACTGCTCAGTGCCATGCACGCTTTTTTTTTGCTGTGGTCCTTTGCCATGGTGATTATAAATTAGCTGTCTGGAACTATGACCTTCAATTTTTTATTTAATAAATGTTTTATTATAGAAATAACAAAGTAACTAAGACATGAAGTAAGTTATGGGTCTAGGAATGTTCTGTAATTTTCAGGCAAGGACTCCCAAGCTATGCCTACTTATTGGTCTGTGTGTGAGGGCAGTTTCTATCCTGGGATTGACAGATATAATTCCTTTTGCTTTGGGACACTCTTGTTAACATTTGTCAGTATATAAGTTCATTTAATAAAGGGATCCTTGGTTACTGATTAAATCAAAGAATGAAGTTTTATTATTGAAGAGAAAACATGTTTAAACTTGTTATATCAAGAGTCACCAAGGTAGGGCTAGAGAAATGACTCAGCAGTTAAGAGCATGTATTGCTTTTGCAGAAAACCTGAGTTCAGTTCCAAGCACACATGTTTAGCTGGCTCAGAACTATCTGTAACTCTAGCTCCAGGGGATCTAACATCATCTTGCTTCTGTAGGTAGGGGACTCATATGCACCTATCCTCTCTCCTCCCCTCTCCCCTCTCCCCTCTCCCCTCTCCCCTCTCCCCTCTCC